CACGCCTGGCTAATTTTTTGATTTATTGTAGAGATGAGGTCTCTCCAAGTTGCCCAGGTGAGTCTCGAACCTGCGGGCTCAGGCAATCCACTCACCTCAGTCTCCCAAAGCGCGGGATTACAGGCTAAGCCACTGAGCCCGGCTGAATTAGTTTTCTATTGCTGCTATGACATACAGTTATGTGTCATCAGGGCTGTGTTTCTTCCGGAGGCTCTAGGGGAGGATTGGTTTTCTTGCCTCTTCCAGTTTCCAGAGTTTGTCCACATTCCTTGACTCATGGAGCCTTCCTGCATCTCCAGAATCAGCAGTGTAGAGTCTTCAAATATCTCTCCCTAGCCCTCCTCTGCTTCCGGCCTCACATCTCCTCTGATTCTGACCCTCTTACCTCCCTCTTGTGAACGTTCTGTGCTGACATTGTGCCCACTTGGATAAACCAGGATAAATTCCCCATTTCCAGATCCTTAACTTCATCACATCTGCAAAGTGCATTTTGCCATATTTACAATTCTGGGCCTTAGGACCTGGACATCTTTGAAAGGGCCATTTTTAGCCAGGCTTGGTGGCTCAGCCTGTAATCCCATGCCTTGGGAGGCTGAGGTGAGTGGATTTCCTGCCCGCGAGTTCGAGACCCGCCTGGACAACTTGGTGAGACCTCATCTCTACAATAAATCAAAAACTAGCTGGGCGTGGTAGCACGCACCTGTAGTTCCAGCTCCTTGGAAGGCTGAGGTGGAAGGATCGCCGGAGCCCAGCAGGTCAAGGCTGCGGTGGCCGGGAGTGGCCACTATACTCCAGTCTGGGTGACAGAGTGAGACTCCAACTCAAAAAAAAAAAAAAAAAAGGGCATTTTTCAGCCTACCACAGAAGTCGAATGACTTACCCATGGTCTCACAGTGGGACTTTGAGCCCAGGTAGTCTGGCCACAGCAGCCTGGGCTCTTATCGTATCAAACCCCCTCTCCTTGGTAAGGTATTACTGCAGGTGTGGAGCTGTCAGTGCAGGAGAGGAAAAACCTCAGCCTGTCTCCCAGGCTCAGACCCAAGTCCTCCCCGCCCCCACCCATGCCAGGTGCTCAGCAAGGGGTCTCTCCTGAAGGAGGTCTGCAGAAAGGCATCCACTGGGTCTCATGGTCTGAGGGCTGTTGTGCTTTTTCTTGTCTCTAGCTTCCTCTGGAAAGGGGCTGGGCCTTTTCTGATCATAACCTAGGGCACTTTCCCAACCCAGCAGGCCAACCTCAGGGCCCTCTTCGGCACAGCCCAGCCTCCAGGAGCAATGGAACTTGACTTGTAATTTTTTTTTTTTTTTTTGAGTTGGAGTCTCACTCTGTTGCCCAGACTGGAGTGCAGTGGCCGCTCCCGGCCACCGCAGCCTCGACCTGCTGGGCTCCGGTGATCCTTCCGCCTCAGCCTTCTGAGTAGCCGGAATTGCAGGCAGGCGCTACCACGCCCGGCTAATTTTTTGATTTATTGTAGAGATGAGGTCTCGCCTGCCCAGGCATGTCTTGAACCCGTGGGCTCAGGCAATCCACTCACCTCAGCCTCCCAAAGGCGCGGGATTACAGGCTGAGCCACCGAGCCCGGCTTGACTTGTAATTTTGACCTGAAGTGATTTCCATCGTGGTCATCAACATTTCAGTAAAACATAGGCCACCCTAGTCCATAAACATTCTCTCTTTCAATGAGGAAGCTGTGTCCCAGATGGGGGAGGCGATGTCTCACCTGGTGGCAGGCCAGGGTCTGCACACGCTCTGTACAGGTGCACACACGTGTACACACATGCTCCACCCAGCCCTGCTCCCCGCTTTCTGCAGGCCAGCACGTGTGCCCGCTCAGCCGCAGTGCCTACATCCTGGACGTGGCCTCAGAGATGGAGCAGGTGGATGGTGGCTACATGCTGTGGTTCCGGCGTGTGCTTTGGGATCAGCCGCTCAAGTTTGAGAACGAGCTATATGTGACCATGCACTATAACCAGGTCAGCACATGTGGGCTCCCCCTGGACTTCCCTGGGCCTGGGAGATCAGACTCTATGGCCTTGGTGTCTGAGGCCTTCAGGATTCAGGCCCTGTGGGCGCTTCTAATCCTGGTGCCTCGGCTGCCCTCCACGGTCTCCTCTGAGCAGTCAAAATAGCATCTGCCCTCCATGGTCTCCTGTGAGCAGTCAAAGCAACATCACCCTTACTACCTCTTCGTGGGCGTTGGCACACTCTGTCACTCCATCTGGACTGCCCCTTCCATCTATCGGCTTTTCTAAGTCCTCCCCAGCAAGGCTGCCCCCAAACAGCACCTCTTCCACGAGGCCCTCTCTGAGCTCCCCTTTCCTTCTGATTTCTTCCTCCTCTGAGCATTGGCTTGTTCCTCACTCAAAGGCCTGAGCAGGGCTTGCTCATTGGTTACTTTTGTCTTTGAGCCTTGGAAATCCTCTAAGCCAGAATCCTGGAGTTTACAAAATCTGGGTTCTCCCCTACTGTGCCGGTATTTGTGGAAGCACTTGGCCAGACAGCGTGTATTTTTGTGGAACTGGTGCCAAGACTTCAGCAATTCCATGTACACAATATGGTCACTTAGCTTTTGTAGCTGCATGTGTCACTGTTGAAGCCTAGCCCTGTGTAGTCTGGTACCATGCCACGGATGTGAGGTTTGTGGACTGGTGAAAACTGAATGCCAGTTGTCAAACCCTGCCTCAGGTCCACTGGGTCAAACTCTCTGGGGTGCAGCCTGGCTGTCAGTTTTGGCAAGCCCTCCAAGGCCTTTGGGGCCTGTGGACACTTGTGCACACACAGTGTTGGTGCTCTGCTCTCACCAGCCCACACTCCTGCCAGGGCATCATGGGGACTCCTTCGTGGGCTTCAAAGCCACAGCCCTCACAGCTTACTGTCACATGCTTCTGCTATATTCCCCAAAACCCAGGAAGGTGACAGGCCATCCTGCCCCAGAAGAGGATAGGGCTGCAGTGATTAAAACCAACATCTCCAGGCCTCATGCAGGCGAATGCCAGAGCATGTGCCTGCCTGGCAGTCCTCATTCAAGCACTCCCCACAGGTCCTGCCTGACTACCTGAAGGGCCTCTTCAGCAGCGTGCCTGCCAGCCGGCCTAGCGAACAGCAGCTGCAACAGGTGTCCAAGCTGGCTTCACTACAGCATCGTGCCCAGGACCACTTCTACCTACCCAGTGTGTGAGCACCTGCCTCCTGTCTTGGCCGGGGTGAACAGGCAACCCAGCCCTCTTACCCTAATCCCGCCCTCCCCAGCCACCCATTGCCCCTCTTATACCTGAGGCTACCTCTGAAAAGGGACTGTCCAGGCCTTGGAGCTGTAGTCCTCCAGCTAGCCATAGGTCGTGGGACCCTGCCTCCCTTCCATGGCAAGTTGCTTCTGGCTGGTGTTAGCGCAGAGCAAGTGTAATGATAAAACTTCGAGGACACACATTCCCTGTGGTCCAGGAAATACTCAGGGCTATGCAGAAAGATTTAGCCACAAAAACGTTCACTGCAATGTTACCTACAACAGCAAAAGGTTGGAAGCAATCTCCATATCCAACAAGGGATTCATTAAGTAAATTTGGGGCACTAGGCAGCCTTTAAATTGATGTTCTCAAAGATGTGATTAATGCTGACAATGTAAATCAGTTATTCTCAAACTTTTGGTCTCAGGACGTTTTTGTATTCTTGAAAATAGGACCCCATGGCCAGGTGTGGTGGCTCATGCCTATAATCCCAGTGCATTGGGAGGCTAAGGCAGGCGGATCACTTGAGGCCAGGAATTTGAGACCAGCCTGGGTAACTCAGTGAGACCTCGTCTCTACAAAAAAAATCAAAAAATTAGCCGGGCATGGTGGCATGCGTCTGGAATCCTAGCTACTCAGGAAGCTGAGATGGAAGAATCACCTGAGCCCAGGAGGTTAAGGTTGTGGTGAGCTGCGAACTTGCCACTGTAGTCTAGCCTTGGTGACAAAGTAAAACTCTGACTCAAAAAACAATTTTTTTGAAGGAAAATAGAACCCCAAAGAGCTTTTGTTTATGTGGGTTGTATCTATTAATATAATTACCCGATTCCAAATTAAAACTGAGAAAAAATTCAAAATATCAATGTATTAATTCATTTAAAAATAAGAATAGGCCGGGCTCGGTGGCTCAGTCTGTCATTGCAGCACTTTGGGAGGCTGAGGCAAGTAGATTGCCTGAGCCCGCGGGTTCTAGATCAGCCCAGGCAACTTGGTGAGACCTCATCTCTACAATAAATAAAAAACTAGCTGGGCGTGGTAGCGCATGCCTGTAGTTCCGGCTACTTGGAAGGCTGAGGTGGAAGGATTGCTGGAACCCAGCAGGTCAAGGCTGCGGTGGCCAGGAGTGTGCCACTACACTCCAGTCTGGGTGACAGAGTGAGACTCTAACTCAAAAAAAAAAAAAACATTCAGTGAGAAGAGTGGTACTATTTTACATTTTGCACAGTTCTTCTCTGTCTGACTTAAGAGAAGGCAGCTGAATTCAGATCTGCTTCTCAGTCAGTCTGCTACATGTCACATGTCATGTAGCCCTTGGAAAACTCCACTGTACACTTGAGAGAGAATGAGAGGGGAAAAGGCAAATAGCTTCTTACATTGTTATAAACATGGTTTTGGCCTCCTAGACTCTCAACCACATTTTAAGTGATATAAATGGCAGTAAGATGATGTCCATGCTACATTATATCCCAGTGCCTGTAACACAGTAAGAGCGCAATATGCAAAGCCTTTCTAATGTTATAATTTCAAATGAAAAGAGCAGGAAGCGTATAAAGGTATAATTCTAGTCACGGATCAAATTAATCAGAGCTCTTAGCTTTTGCAAGACACATGCATTGTCTCAGCCATTCTTCCTGACAGCACTTTATTTTCACCTTTTATAGATGAGGAAACCGAGGCTCAGTGAGGTTATTTGGCTTACGGAAGTTTAGCCAGCTGCGGGTGGAGGAACCAGGATTCAGACCTGGGGAGGCTGAATCCAGATGCCAGGCTCTTTCCCCAGCAGTGCTGGGAAGGATAGACGTAACCTAGGGGATTTCTTGGGAGGAAGCCATTCCCCCTGGCTTTCTTCCAACCTTTCCCATGTCTGTAGCCCTGGGTGGCTGGGATGGACTGGGGCCGCTGTTGGTATTTCCCAGATGTCCCAAGAGGCACAGGGGCTGTCTGAGGTAGCCAGCAAGTGTCAGAGAGAAAGGGGATGGTGGGGTGCTCATGGCCCAGGGGGGCTCAACCCCGAGGCCCCGCGAATCTCAGCCCTGGGCTCTGCCCAGCCCTGTGACAACTGCTTTGCCCACCCCAATGTTTCCCTCTCCCACATGCTTCTTACCTTTCTGGCTTGGGCTTCTGCTTGGGTACAGAAGCTACAAAGGATGAATTTTTTTTTTTTTTTTTTGAGTTGGAGTCTCACTCTGTTGCCCAGGTTGGAGTGCAGTGGCACATACACAGCCAACCCAGCATCGATCTGCTGAGCTCCAGCAATCCTTCCACCTCAGCCTTCCAAGTAGCTGGAACTACAGGCGCGCGTTACCACGCCTGGCTAATTTTTGATTTTTTGTGGAGATGAGGTCTCTCCAAGTTGCCCAGGCAGGTCTCGAACCCGCGGGCTCAGGCAATCCACTCACCTCAGCCTCCCAAAGCGTGGGATTACAGGCTGAGGCACCGAGCCCCGCTACGAAGGATGAATTTACCTAGGATTTAAATATTGTCCCCCTAATCCCTGCCACCAACTCACATAGTCACTGCATTACCCTGAACTAGTTGGTGAACTTCTCAGAACTGCAATTCCCTTAAGTGCAAACAGGGGTCCCCGTGGTGCTGGCTCTGGTGTGTTCCAAGTGCCAGGGGGCCTTCACCCTCACACTCCCCAGCGTTCAGTCTTCCAGGGAGGTGCAGAGGGCGTACCTGCCCCACACACCTGCCACGCAATGAGGATCGCTGTGTGCTGGCTTAGGATCCCTTTCCCCTCACATAGGCGGGAGGTCCAGGACTACATCCCAGCCCAGCTTTACCGCACCATGGCTGGCTCGGCCTGGCTCAACCTGGTCAGCCAGCACCGGCAACAAACGCAGGCGCTCAGCCCCCACCAGGCCCGCGCCCAGTTTCTAGGTAAGAGCAGGGCCAGGGGAGTTCATGCTGGGTGGGGGGCGGGGCGAGTCTTTCTGGAGGGGTACATTTTCAGTGCCAGCTGAGGTAAGCACCTGCCAGGAGAGAACAACGTTTTAAACTTTTCACCAAACTGTCACCTAGGCTCAGGGTGGCCCTGGGCAGAGGAAGAAGAGCTGCAAGCAGGGATAGGGGAAGAGGTCACAAGAGGGGAAGTCAGAGAGGCAGGAGGAGACCCAGGCAGAGGGCCCCTGAGCCGGACACATCCAGGGAGAACATGGCTGCAGGCCAGCTGTGCAGTTCAGGGTCATGGCTGCCATTGATGCACCTGGCCCAGCCTAGTAACTGTCCCCTCTCCCCATCCAGGACTCCTCAGCGCCCTGCCCATGTTCGGCTCCTCCTTCTTCTTCATCCAGAGCTGCAGCAACATCACTGTGCCGGCCCCCTGCATTCTTGCTGTCAACCACAACGGCCTCAACTTCCTCAGCACTGAGACCCACGTGAGTGGCCTTTGCCTGGCACCTCCGTCACCACTCTGTCCTTTGATCCCACCCCTTCTGAGGGGCTGGGATTTCCAGCTGTGGACACCCAGCTCTGCCTCTTCCACCTGTGTGATCTTGGGCAAGTCTCTTCCTCTTTGGGAGCCTCACTTCCTTCCTCTGGAAAGTGAGGATATTGGGAGAGTGCACCCTTTGTAGGGGTGTTGTGATGGTGGAATGAGGCAGGCCACACACTGAGACACAAACCATACAGTCGTTTGCTTGCACTGCTGTAGGCATATCACAGACTGAATGGCTTAAATGACAGAGGTTTCCTTCTGTAGTTCTGGAGGCTGGAAGTCCAGGATCAAAGTGGGGCAGGTTTGGTTCCTTCCTTGGTTTGCACATGGTTGTGTTCCCGCTGTGTCCCCCGTGGCCTTTCCTCTGGGTGTGCACATCCCTGGTGTCTCTTTTTGTGTCCGGATTTCCTCTTTTTTCTTTCTTTTTTTTTTTGAGTTGGAGTCTCACTCTGTTGCCCAGGCTGGAGTGCAGTGGCCAGGCGCAGCCTCGACCTGCTGGGCTCCGGCGATCCTTCTGCCTCAGCCTTCCAAGTAGCTGGAACTACAGGCGTGCGCTACCACGCCCGGCTAATTTTTTGATTTATTGTAGAGATGAGGTCTTGCCAAGTTGCCCAGGCGGACCTCGAACCCGCGGGCTCAGGCAATCCACTCACCTCAGCCTCCCAAAGCGCAGGATTACAGGCTGAGCCATCGAGCCTGGCTACGGATTTCCTCTTATAAGGACACATGTCATATTGGAGTGGGGGCCCCTGTAACAGCCTCACTTTAACTTCATCGCTTCTTTAAAGGCCCTGTCTCTAAATAAGAGTCACATTCTGAGCTACTGGGGGTTAGGGCTCCAACATATGAATGTGATGAGGACACAGTGGGGCCCATAACAAATAGGGCCTGTTACCCCCAATCTTATGTTTTGCTCACAGAAGTGGACCCCGAAATGGGATTCCAGGGCAAGTGGTTGATTTGGAGTTGATTCTAGGAAACACTGCAGTGAGGAAATGAGATGAACGGGATGGAACCAATGGATGGAGTGTCACCCCGCAGATTTCTGACTTGGGAAACAAGGGTCAGCCCTGCGGGGACCCCAAGAGACAGCCTTCTCCCCTGGGGCCAGGGAGCTAGGTGTCTACACACCCCTCATCTGTCACTAGTTGAGCTTCCTTCTGAGGCACCAACTCTCTATCACTCCAGCTGTCCCTGTATGTGGTCCGAACTTGGTCCTTGGACCAGAAATAAAGTCTTCAAAGAGGTGCAGGTGTTCACGAGAAGCAGCTTTGATGTGAAGGTCAGGGCACCAGCAGCACCCATGACACCTCTGTCTCCCAGCATTTAGACCAGTGCCTGCCACATAGCAGATGCATTGTCAATGTCAGTTAAATCCATTCCACAAGTTAGGAAACTGAGGTCCAGAGGGGTGAAGTGACTTGTTCAAGGTCCCACAGCAAGTTACTGGGAAACTGCTACTCTAATTCCTGCCTTCTCCTGATCTGATTTGCAGGGGAGGGGTAAGGGTGGCTGACACTGTCCCCACCTGTCTGGCTTCTCTCCCTGCACTCCCAGGAGCTGATAGTAAAGTTCCCCCTGAAGGAGATCCAGTCGACACGCACCCAGCGGCCCACAGCCAACTCCAGCTGCCCCTATGTGGAGATTGCATTGGGGGATGTGGCGGCACAGCGCACCATGCAGCTGCAGCTAGAGCAGGTGGGCCCAGCCTCTCACTCCCTGGTTCTACTACAGACTCTGCTCTGGGCCTGGCTCCAAGATAGGTCAGGTCCCTGCCTGACCTAAAGGAGTGTCTGGCCCAGTGCACGGGACAGAACTAACCCCAGTGTGGCACAGAACTTCAGGTCATGATGTGGCCGTCCAGGGAGGTTGCTTGGTAGTGGGAACATGGGAAAAGGCCCCGGGTTGTGCAGTGAGAAGTTGGCTGGGGACACTGGGAAGATACGACCAGCAGAGGGGAGGTCTTGGGGCTCTTTGAAAGTCAGGCTAAGAATCTGGGGCTTTCTCTTGGGGGTACTAGGGAGCCATAGAAGGTTGATGAGAGGGCAAGGACACAGGAAGTTTGAGGATGTTCACCTGGGCTGAGGCATGGAAGCTGGACCATGGGCCCTGGGATAGAGGCTAGAGAAGGTGGGTTCCCTGTGTGACAGACAGTGAAACCGAGACCCCCTACTCTGTGCCTTCTTATGTTTGCAGCAACTGTGGCTGCTACTTAATAGCACAGTCACCTCTAGGCTTCTGTACCAGTCTCAGAGCCCCCAGGGGGCAGGGCTGGCTGGAGTTTTCACTCTCCTGAAGAGATAGGATTGAGGCCCAGAGAGGGGGCAGAATCTGGTCTGAGGCCCACACGCCTGCCCTTTCCAGGCTGCAGCATCCCCTGTGAGGTCTGGGCCCGGCTCCCGGTCCACTTCCCACCACACACCACCATCTGCTCCTGCTGGGTCTCACCCCATCCTTGCCTTATCCCCTGGCTGCCTTGGGCCCCCAGCCTGCCCAGCTTTCTGGAAGCTGCCTTCCTGAGCCCCTAGATGGCGCTGTTGTGCTCGCCGCCCCCAGGGCCTGGTCGTGCCTTTGGTGGCTTCTGTTCTGGTGCCGCCTCCCGCGGAACTCTTAACTTGCTGAGTCTGAGCCTCTCCCCTGGGAACTCCCTCTGGCCCTGAGGCTTTCAGAACCATTTCTACCATCACAGCCCCCATATTTCTGTCTTTTGCCCTGAGGTCCTGAGCTCCGGGCTCCCTCAGCCTCTCCCTTGGAGACAGGAGTCCTCCAGCTTACCTCCGGGTCCTCCCAGGAACTCAGGCCCCGAGCCTGGGAGCCCTTCCTTCCCGTCCCTGCCCCCCATTGCCTCTCTGGCCTTCTCTCCACTCTGCTCGCTGGCTCCAGCCATCCTGGCCTCTCCCAGCTCCCTCATGCTGAGCTTTCCCTGCCCTCCCTGCCCCCGACCCTTGTACCTGCTGTTCCCTTGACCGCTCTTCCCTGGTTCATCACAAAGCCCCCTCCCCCCTTTGTCTGGGTTTCAACACAGATGCCACCTCTTTCTGGAAGCCTTCCCTGACCCTCCTCCCTAATAACTCCTGATCTCTGCCTCAGTAGCCTTCATGGTGGCTTGCAGATCGTTTAGTTACTTGTCCATAAATTGTCTCTTTCCCCCATCAGAATGTCAGCTCCACCAAGTAGGGCCGTGTCCATCTCGTTCATGCCGTCTGTTGCTAGGTGCTGGCAAGCTTGTTGAATGCGTCGGGGGCGGGGCCTGTAGATGAAGGCCTCTTTGGCTCCCCGCTTTCCTTGCAGCACCTCCTGACCTCTTTTTTTTTTTTTTGAGTGGGAGTCTCACTCTGTCACCCA